CATTCTGTCCTGGTGTGTACTGGTTGCTTAGCTGTTGTCTGCCACCCTGAGCTGTAGCTCTCTGCCATGTGCCCCTCTGCCTTATAATCTGCCAAGTACGGACTGAAACCTCCACAAACTGTAAGCGAAATAAACCTTTCCTTCCTTAATTTTGGGCATCAGGTATTTTGTCCCAGCAACGAGAAAAAAGTAACCAAGACAGGAGTGCATAGATGAGTGACTTCCAAAAGCATCAGCCTGTTGTCTTACTCTTTTACTGTGCTGGAGGGTCCTTGGTGAGAAGCAATGTAGTGTAAGATGCACCAAGATGAGAATAGCAGTCCCTGAGTCCCCAGCTTGCTGTGTGGCTCCAAGGATCCAGGAAATGGGGAAAAACAAGACCACGTGCAGTGAATATTCCAGAGAAGAGCTATCTGTGAGAGGAGGGGCCTGGTATCACAGACCTTTTTTCTGGAAGCTGGCTGCTGCCTTGAGTTACGCTACCATCTTGGACAGGCTTGGTGGCTGCTGCTGGCAGCTTGGTCTCTGACGGGTGGTCAGGGCCAGGTCAGCGCTGGTGAGAGGGATTCCACCTTGCTGAGCCCTTATGCTGTCCCTGCCACCTCCACATTGCCACTTCGTGCGCGAGCCAATTAAACACGCGCTGTTAAGCCTGAAGAAAGAGGCTGGCTGACATCCATGGCCCAGTTGTCTCATCCGCCTGGTTATTGTGAGCCTCCTCTGCTGTGAGACCTTTTGGCAAGCATGAGCATGGGCCACAAATATCTTCATTCTTGGGGCCCACTGGCATTTTTCCCAGGCCATCTCCATACCAGTCTCAGCCTCACCCCTTGTGCGAACCTCATCACCTATCCAGCCTTTGCCTGGAGTTTTTATTCTTTTTGTGTGTGTGTGTATCAGGAATCAAACTCAGGACCTTGCACTTGCCAGGCAGGCGCTTGTGCTGCTGAGCTATATCCCCAGCCCTGCCTGGAGTTTTTAAATGTACCTGGGGTTTGTTTTACTCAGGAGAGGTTAGGCACAAACAACAAAAATGATATGAAGCACGAAGCTTGCGCTCAGAGCTCCCCAGAAGTAGGGCGACGTGGGAAACACCAGAGCCAGCCAGGAGGCAGGCGCTGTCCCTGCAACAGCCTGTGCCGAGGCTTCTGTGGGAAAGGTAAGGAGACAGCAGGCAGGCCGACTTGGGGTTGGCCAGTCTGAATAATTTCAGCAGGCTCTGGCCTCTTCTAGCAGCTAGTTGCCTCTGGTACTTGGCTGGGGAGATCATGCCTGGCAAAGAATATTGGCTCAACCTGGACAGTCCCACAAAGAAAGAGTTGAAGTCTCCAGGACTGGCTCGTTTGCATATGAATGGGGTGCTGCGGCAGGGGTAGGGGAAATCTTGCCATCTGTAGGAGCTGGCCAGCCCTGGGAAGGGTGTCAGTCCCCTGTCCGTGAGGTGTCAGATGCCAGGGCATCAAGAAGGCAGAAAATAAGCACATGTAGTTATTACACCTGGTGACCATGTAAATGCATTACTGAGCGCGTTTCTCCTCCTAGACTAAGCGCACTGTTTAAAGTCTGCCTGCTTCTCCTCACTCTGCCAGGCCACCCCAGCCATATTACCAGCTGTCCACTGTGCCCTTGCCAGCAGCCGATGCAGTTATCTGTAAACCAGGCTCAGAGTTTTTCTTTCCCAGTCATTTGACACAGGGAAGTCCCTGAGTCTGAAGCAGGACCGGAGACCTGAGGAGTGTGAAGGCTTGAGAGACCACAGTGCGCCTGCTTAGAGGGGGCTACTGAGAGGATGGTGAGGCTGCAGGGATGGCTCAGACTGCTACATCCACAGCTCATAGTGGGGCCTTTCACAGGCTGCCACAAGCCCCAGGAGCAGGATCTAATAGACCAAGGAGTGCAGCAGCCGCTGAGGTCCATGGACAGTCTCAAAGTCCGCTTCCCGCCGGAAGCTCTGAAGACTGCTGCTGCGGCCAAGGGTCACAGCTTGTCCTGTCTCCTCACTCCGGATCCCGCCCCTGACCAGTCCAGTGGGACTTCCCAGACTGCTGGCAACTTGCCATTCCATAGCTGCTGCTGGACGTGACCTCACATCAGCCCTAGATCCCTCTTTCCCTCTCTTAATTCTCATGGAAAGCACCAGGCTCCTCCTCCCCCATCCTGCAGTTTGAACAGAATTCCTCAAACTTGGATGTGCTATTTCCAACCTTGGCAAAAATAGCCGTCATTTGGTTTCTATAAGGCCTGCCGGTGAAAAACATTTCCTGGTAATTTCAGATGAATACGGTTTCCATCTCCAAGTCCCCAGTATTCCATTTACCTTCTTAGGCTCCATGAGTCATGCTCAGATGCTTTTTTAGGATGAAAGTATTTTAAAGTGAAGAAGGACAAGATGGAAACGTCTTTAGCCTGATGCTTCAAGCTCCATCTCTGCCATGGGTCCCTCATGTGACTGTAGCCCCTGCCTCCCTCCTGAGCCTTTCCAGGGATCTTGGGCATTCTTCTTTGGGTGCTCCGTCTCACGCTGCCCTCATAGGGCCCAACCTCTCCTTCCTAAATTGGCTCTTTTTCTGGGTAGCCCCATAATCACCAGTCACTCATGCTGTGGCTTCAGCAGGATCTTTTTCTTCCCATATCTATGCAACCTTCTACTCAGTGGGTACTTGGGAGCATCGGTTGCCTCTCAAGCTATCCAATGCTGTGTTTTCTTCTCAAAAGCCACCCAGACAGTAGTTTCAAAAATATATTCCTTCTCGACCCTTTTGGAACCATCTTTTCTTTCCCAGTCATAATGCCAACATTTTAATGCAGTCATTCTGGACATGTTCATTCAGTACTTACTGTGTGCTAGGAACTCTTCTGGGTCCTAGAGATGTAGTGATGTTCAAGAAGAACTGGTCTCCACCCTTAAGGAGCTTATGATCTAGTAAGAAAAGCAGAAGAGTAAACAGGTACCTTTAAAGCGGTGTGGTAGGGGTGAGGGCAGGGACCATGCAGGAGGGAGAGAAGGAGATGGTGCTTACCTGAACTTTGGGCACTTCCTGAGGAAGTGATTTAGGCTGGGACCTGAGGGTTAAAATCTGGAGACGAAAGAAGACACTGTGTTCAGGAAATTGGAAGTGGTTCATTATGGCTGAGGTGGAAAATGGGAGAGAAGATATATGGAGGTCACTTTGATGGGGATAATTAAAGGCTGGTTCATACAAAGCTTGGAAAGCCAATTTAGGGAATTTAGGTTCTATCTTAACAGGGAGGCATTAAGCTATGACAGACTCATTACGTTTGTTTTTTGTTTTTTGGGCTTTTAAAAATTCTTTTTATTTAAAAAATTTTTTAAAAACTAACAAACAACAATGAAGACAAAATCAAAACAATGCAAAAACAACAAAAACGATACATGACCTCAAAACAAAATGATAGGAATTAACAATGGTTGCGACATTACATACTGTTATCTTCAATGAAGTTGCTCAGTCCACCAGACATAAGAATGTAAGATTGACCAAACAAAGACAGTAACAAGTAATAATAATAAAAAAAAAAACATTGGAAATGAGCAGAGCTTCACCATACAAGATGGTAGGAGTTCAACAATGGTTCTTTTACTGCTTATTGTATAAAAGCTTTTGCAAAAGCAATCCTGGGCAACAAAGGCAAGGCAGGAGGTATCACAATCCCTGAATTGAAATTATTATTCTATACTGTGATAAAATCATTGCATTTGGAATAAAATTATTTTGACTGGAAAAGAAGGACAGATTGGGAAGGGGACAGAGATCTGGAGACCAAGATGAGGCTGTAGTTCTAATGTAGACAGGAGGTAGTAGTGGGGCCTGCTCTGTTAAGTTTCCTTCCCTCTAGGATTTTTTTTCCTTCTCAACTTCCAACAACTCTGAAAGTGTCAAAATCCACTCTACAGTTTTCTAGGCAAATAAGGGTTCAATCCCTTCTGCTCTCTGCCTTCTGTTCATTGCTGTCTACTGCCTTCAAATGGTTGTTTTGAAATATTTTGTTGAGACGTTCCCATTACCAGCAGGAGGGTTACTCCAGTACAAGCTATTCCACCATTCCTGGAAGTGGAAGGAATACACTAAGGAATCTGGACTTTATTGTGCATGCTGGAAGATTTTAAATGGGGGAATGGTAGTCTGATGAGTTCATGCTTTGGGGAGAGTAGAATGGGGATGACCTATAGTGGTGGTCACGAACCTATGGCACGCATGCCACCATGGGCTGTTTGTATCACTGAAAGCTCTAAAAGGTTCGCCATCACTGACCTATAGAATAGGATAGGTTGGTGAGGGGAAAACCAGAAGACACAGGAAGCAATTAGGAGATCATTGCAGTGGCTCAAGAGAGATGGCATACAGAAGAGTGAGGCAATGGAACGGAAGAGGTGGGTCACATAGGAGAAATTTAATGAAAGAGTTCTCCTCCCAGTAGCCCTAGGGGCGTCCCACAAGAAAAGTGACTGAGGGGCTGGGGATTTAGCAGAGCAGCACAGCGCCTGCCTGGCAAGCGCAAGGTCGTGAGTTTGATTCCTGATACCGGAAGAAAAACAAAAACAAACAAACAAACAAACAACAAAAAAAGAAAAGTGATGGAAGATGACTGCCGTTCCATCCCAGAGTCTGGCCTGGTGAAAGCTGACCCCACAGTGTGTCTGTGTGGCGCTTGGAGCATTTACTCACCGAATGTTTGTCCTAGAAAAATTTCTTGACTGAATCTTGTGTCACTCTCGATCTGCAGCTCTCCGTTGCTCACTGCGAGGGCTGTGGAAGGCAATCCAGGGTCTGATTGGACCTTGAACGCGATCATTTATGGAACAGCCCAATTGCTGTCAGCCCCCAGGTGTGGGCGAGAGGAGGGGGAGAGGGTTACACATGTGGGTGGCGCTGCCCAGACCTGCCTGAGCATCTGCTGCCTGGGCCTGTTCCTCTTGATGTCAGGCAGCCAGCTGTCCTTGACTTCTCCCACCAGCTCTGTGCTTTCTCCTTCCATAGGTCAAATGGATGATGTACTGGATTATATTTGCACTTTTCACCACAGCAGAGACATTCACAGACATCTTCCTTTGCTGGTAAGTACTCGGGGAATTGGGCCATTCACAGGATGATTGGGCCTAGTGTGAGGAGAGGGGAAGAGCTGAAGCCTCACGCCACACCTCAGGCCGCAGATGCAGGGAGGCGATTCGAAGTATTTCTCATAAGTCGGTCTGTAAAAGTTATTCTTCAAGTATGGGTCGAATCTTCCTGTCTTCCTGACTCCTCACAAAGGTGCCTCGCTGCTTCCTCACCTGGTCCCCTTTCCCGGAAGTGGCGAGCGTTTTGGGGGTGGGGTGGGTAAGCAGTCTGCCTTTCCCCTGCGGGCCTGAGTGTGGCCTCCTCTGTGGGGAGGGGGCTCTGGAGGACCCTTCCCCGCCTGCTTCAGCCCCTAACTCTTCCTTCATCCTCATTCCCTACTTTTCACCCCTTCCCTAGGACAGTTCCCTCTTCATGGTCAGTTTTTAAAAGCATTCCATCCTGATGGAAACAGCCATTAAATATGGCCGTAGGATAGATAATATGGCGACTCTTTTTGCAATTTAGGAAGGTATTTTTATTTAAATAACATCTTAAAATGCCATTAAATGACAATTAAAAATTATAAAACAATACATGTACATGCAAAATACAAGTGAAACAATATACTAAAACTTAAGTCTAGAGCCTGGGGTAGCTCAACAAGAGTATATGCTTTGTGAGGGCCTGGGCTCTCCACTTGCACTAAAAAAAAATCCCCCAGACCCACAATCCCCTTCCCATTGCTAAAAGTACCACTATGGAAAGCTACTTGTGCTTTCTTCTAGAAATTTTCTGTACACATTAACTGTATGTGTTGTGGACAGTTTCATCCTGTGACCAACTCTTAGAAGGCAGGTACCCCTCCAGAATGTTGAGGTGTTACATTGTCAGGGTGGGGACACCACAACTTCCTGGGTTCCCCAGTGCTGTGCACATGCCTGAGAAGCTATGGAGAAAATGTGGGGTACCTGGGGTCTTTTCCCATAGGAAATTGCTAGAGATCATGGTTCTTCAAGGGTGTCTTACTGTGGAATGAGTAGGGCCCTTCGCCACCCCGTAGTTGAAGGCTGGGATTGTTAGGTGGGCTGGAAGCAGACATCATTGGTGGTAATTGTGTTGGGAAAGCCAAAGGACCCCAAGATTTGTAGGAAACATGGACTTGAGTGGCTTAATTTAGAGCATCGGGGGACCCCTGGCAAGGGTCTGATCTAAGACACCAGGACTTTCCCCTCCTAACATACACTTTGGTGAGAGACTTAGGGGCTTTAAATATTTTGAGCTGTCAGGAGCATAAGGCATTGTTGCAGCTAGTCTGCTAGTGCAACATGAAAACAGCCATAAATAGCAATAAGCGAGTGGGTGTGGCAGTGTTCTAATAAAACTTTATTTATAAAAACAAATAATTGGCTGGGTTTGGCCTGCAGGCCATGGGTTATTGGGGCTCCTGGGTCCTTTCTAGCAAACAGCAGATGCTACCTCTGACTAACTTAAGGAAAAGAAGAGAAAGCAGTGAGGCTTTGTTGGGAGATAGTTGGAGTAACTCAGAGTGGAAAGAAAAGCTAAAAATTTAAACTCTGGAAGGGGAGGAGCAGAGCCCTTCAGGGCCCCTTCTCACTGAAGCTTAAGGACTCTGCTTCTACCCACTGCCAGTTCACCCCTCAATACGGTTTACCCTGAAGCTGTAGGCCTCGCAATTCCAAATTTGTAATCTATAAATTGCTTAATAGTTACTACTTGATACTTCGGTAGTAGCACAAAGTACTTCGCTGTGACCTAGAGACCACCTAGTATAAACAGGGTCAGCAGGGCCTGCCCATCTGCCCATGTGTATCCAGGAGGGAAGAAAGAGGTACTCTCTCTGGGCGCTTTCCAGAGAGTGGGGCCCAACAGATGTCTTGTACAAATGTGCTTATAGAACCTACTGTGTGCTGGTTCTGTGCAGGCGCCAGGCGCCTAGTCAGAGCTGCACCTCTCCGTAGCACTGGGGAGAAAATCACCCAGGGTATTTCTAACGCCAGTGAGGCAGGTGCTTGAGCACACCCATCTCTCTTTCTGCGTCTCATCCTTCTTCCTGTCCCACAGTAGGTGGTCCCCATCTCTTCATGTCCTCTCTTCTGTGCTGGTGACTGAACAGTGACGTTCTTGTTTCCCAAGTGCTGTGTGCGTGTCCTCCTCCTCTCCCTTTCCCTCCTTCAATCTTCCCTTGCTTCCCCAGCTTCGACATAGACCCTTTCCTCCTGTGTGACAAACCTATAAGGGGAAGGGTGTATCTAACCCAGCTTGGGTGCCCCTACAGTATTCAGCACACACCTTTTAATTTATAGTTCCTCAGTAGGATTTCCCAGCAGAATGAATTAATTAATCAATAAACACTGAATGGGTCAATAAAGCCAAGTATCTAAGAGTAGGCAAGTGAGAAAGGAAGAAAGCGGGAGAAAAGAAATAGTAAGAAAATTTAGTGATTGTTAATGGTAGGGGATTCTGGTTTTGCTTTGAAAAAACATCCAAAAGGATCCTATTTTTGCCAGACATGGTAGTCATCTGTAATCCTAGCACTAGGTGAGGCTGGGTCAGGGGGATCACAAGTTCAAGCCCAGCCTGGGGAATTTAGCAAGACGCTATCTGCCTTATTCACTTTCCCTGTTCCTGGAACAAAATACCCAACTCTTGCAACTTAAGGACAGAGAGGTTTATTTTGGTTCAGTTTTAGAAGTTTCAATCCTTGCATGGTCAGCTGGCTGCATGCAGAAGTGAAGGATCTTCCTCATGGCAACCAGGAAGCAGAGAGTGAAGGGAGGAGCCAAGAAGGGAGCTAAACCCTGACAGCAGCCCCAGTAACCTGCCTCTTCAGACCGGACCCCACCGCCTGACACCAGGCCAGCTGTATCACCCCCATAATCCAGTCACCTTGCTAAAAGCCCCACCTCTGAGCGCATGAAGCTTGGGGAGATGTCCATATATGAACCATGATACTCTTTGAAAACTAAAACTAGACAAGGGCTGGAGATGTAGCTCAGTGTGAAGCCTATGGGTTCAACCCCTCATCCTGGGACGGGGAGCCTCTTTTAAACCAAAGTCCTAGAAGAGCTGGGAATTAGCAGGCTCTGATGGCATTTCTTTTTTATGCTCTGGATACCCAAGGAACAAATCCATTCTTCTGTGATTCTTCTATCACAAGGGTTGACATGCCTTACCCAAAATGTCTTCAGTGTAAGCTCCATTGTCCGGGGGAAGAGGGGAACAGGGAACAGTACTTTCTCATCCAGTCCAGAGCTACTTGGGGATGGCACCCAGTAGGCAGGCCTGCCGGTCGCTCCAAATGAAGTCTGCCCTCTGAATTTGTCCCTGGAGCTGCTCTGTGATACTGGTAAGACATGGCTGGAGAAATGAACCCAGAAGATTGGTAGGCAGGAAGGTCTTCCTATCTGTCTGGATGGGGTACACTGACAGGAGCTTGGGGACCAGGATGGTCTGTAGCAGACTTGCCAGAGAGGAAAGGGGGCCTGGGTAACCTGAAGGATCACTCAGGATGAATATGCAAGTGCACCCCACAGCCCTCATGGCACAGCCCGGGGCAGAGGCTCTCATAGCGGCTGTAACCTGAGGGCGTGGCTGCGGAGACTCAGGGTCTCTTATCATGCTTGCATGGAGGTGCCACCCTGTCTATATTTAAAGTGCACACAGAATTTCTACTCCTCAGGCATTTATTCTGCAGATGCATCTGCACACATGTGTAGAGAAACACACTAAGAGGTTTTTTTGCAGCTCAGCTTAGTTGCCAAAGATTGTCACCCTCATGAATATTCACAGGCCTGGGGAGATGCCTACACACCCACGTGCAGCCATTAAGAGAGGGTGCAGCTCTCTGTGTGCTGGCGTGAGATAGTCCCCAAGGCACACTGTGGATTGTGTGTGCTGGGGGGGAGCAAGGGGTAGGAGTGGGTGTATAGAATGCCACCATGTCTCTGGAGGGCTGTTCCGGGAGTTGTGTGCATCTAGATGATTGTACGTCCCTGGTCCCAGTCCATTCTGGAAGGGTGCACCAGCAACAGATATTTATGCTTTTAGAAAAGGGACCAAAGGTCAAGGGTGGAAAGGAGACTCTGCTGTATGCATTTTTAAAAACTATGTGCATGTATGACCTATTTTTTAGATACATTTTTTACATTCTAAAAAGAGCTGCAGTGTAACAGATGCCCTTGGGATCATCGGTATATCTTGTGCTGGTTTCTGAGCTTGCTAGATTCATTTGCTTTCCCCTCAGGACTGGCAAATACTCGTTTTCAAAACAAAAGTTCCTCCATTACTAATCGCCAGAGTGTTTCCCTATGGGAGAATCACGCCTCTGTTCTTTCAGCCCCGCTCTTCTCTGCCTGTGAAGCATTAAACAGTCTTGCCAATGAAAGTGCCCCCTGGTTGCTGAGGCACTGTTGAGGACGAGTCAGCCACAGGCAGAAAGCTGAGCAGCTGAGACCTTCCTGAGGAAAGGAGGAGGTGGTAGAGCTGCTGATTGAGCAGTCGTGTGAGCATTAAAGGGCCTGGAATTGACTTGCTAGAAATTGCTCCTTTTCATTTCTAGCTCTTTATCTGGTGAGGATTAACTTTTCTGATTTCTGTTAGGTTTGTGTGGGAAATCTGGGCTTGCAGGTGAGCTTTTCTATCTCGAGGAATTGGCTCAGTTGGCTGAGGAGGTGAGTGGCACTGGAATCTAAACCAAGCTCTGCTCGCCAAGATGTGTGCCTGTAGCACTGCATCTATTTGAAGGGGCTGACTTTTAAGTATGTGCAGAGCTCTAGTAGAGCCCCACTACAGCACTGTCCTTGTAACACAAGGCGCAAGGCGGGGAGGCCAGCTTGTGTAAAGACAAGGTGGCATGGAAATTATTGTGCCTGGTTGCAGGCAGACAGAGTGTGATAAGGCCGTCTGTAGGGAACAAAGGGAAGTGTGTCCCTTTCATAAGGGTAGAAAGAAAGCAGGGACACTAAGCAGAAGGATTTTAATAAACATCTATGGTCAGAGTTCTTTGGCAGTCCTGCACCTCAGCAAAGAAAAGTCCTTGAAGCTTCTGGTGTAAATTTTCGAGTGGCTCTAGATGTCCCCAGATATGCTGGGACCTGCAGAATTCCCTGTCCTATCTTACCTTCTTTATGACACCCTGTGCCTGCTGATGACAGCTTCAGTGCTGAGCTGAGTTCCCTGCTGAGAGTAGTGCTTCTGCTGGAAAGCAGGTTGGGGACTTGGAGAGTCAGGTCCGATTGGAGCCTTACACTGCTCAGGTCACTGTTCTAGGTGGGTGTGATTATAGTATCAATCTCTGTTTCTCTGGTTGGACCCCTAGGTTCAGGGATGTCAGAATCTTGTCTGTTTCTGGAAGCTCCAAGGAGGAGGATCAGGTCTTCCTGGCTCACTGTTACCTGCCCAGTGCCTGGCACAAGCTGGCACAAGCTGGCACATATAGGTGCTGGGCGAATGTTTGTGGCACAAAGAAATGATTGGGCTCAAGGATGCATAGGACTTCCGAATCCGATGTTACCTCCACCCCAAGTTCTTCTTTCTTTTGGCAGCAAAAAGGTCAAGATGTGTTTTCCTGGCATTGATTTGAGTAGGGTGAAGGGCATTCTCCTCTGGGCAAGAGTTGGTCTCATGTCCCTGTCTCCATTTGGGCTAAAAAGAGCTAAAAAGGCCAGCTTTTACTGTCAGACTGGAGATGGTTTGTCAGCTCTGCCCCGTGTGACCCCTCCGAGTGTTTTTGCTTCTGGCCACAGGGAAAGGGTGAACAGCTGGGTGGTGGCATGGATCTGGCCTTCTGCGCCTGCAGGCTGCAGCTGGAGCCATGCATCAACCTCAGTGAGCCCAGCCCACTGGACCTGCCAGCTGCTGCCAGGGCCACAGGGTGATGGATGGGCTGAGCCTCCGTTTCTGAAGTGCTTGGGCAACAGAAGAAAACTCGAGCCAGCTTTCAGGGAGAGGCCATGGCTGTGCCGTGTGTGCACCTGCGTGTGCACCTGTGCACGTGCACGCCTGCCTCTGATGGGCGGAGGGGGAAGCTAGGAGCTCTGCAGTGGGGCGCGGGCAGGAGAGGTGTCCCTGCCAAGGCCGGGGCTTGTCCTTCATGGAGCCAGGGCAATGTTGCTAAGGAGCTAATGGGCCGCGTATTTTCTTATCTCTCCAGGTTTCCATTCTATTATGAACTAAAAATAGCATTTGTAGCCTGGCTGCTATCTCCCTACACAAAAGGCTCCAGCCTCCTGTACAGAAAGTTTGTACATCCCACGCTGTCTTCAAAAGAAAAGGTAATTTATGTTGCTTTGCCTTTCATTCCTCACAGCAAGTGAAAGATTAAAAAAAGGGATAAATAAAGAAGATTTGTGTATTGCAGGAGACCCTTGATTGGTTTTTATTATCTCAACAAGTTATTGCTTCTAATTTTTTTTTTTAATGGTGCTGGGCCTCACACATGCTATGCTCTATTACTGAGATATCTTCACAGCTCTGTTTTTTTGTGGCACTGAGGATTGAACCTAGGAAGTCCTGAGCTGCATCCCTAGTCCTTTTTTTTATTTTGAGACAAAGTCTCACTAACTTGAATTTGCAATCCTCTCATGCCAACCTTCCCAATAGCTGGGATTACACGCACATGCCATCATGCCTGGCCCTCAGCCACTTTTAACTGTATTTTTTGGATATAATGTATTTTTTAGAAATAGTAGACTGGGCGTGCTGGTAATCCCAGCACTTGGGAGGCTGAGGCAGGAGAATTGCTGCAAGTTCAAGACCAGCCTGGGCTACAAAGTGAACTCAAGGCCAGCCTGAACTGCATAGTGGGACCCTGTGTTAAAAAGACAAAAAGAAATACTGATGAAATATTTATTATAAAATATTTATATAATTGAAACAAAAGAGAAAAATTCACTCACAATTTAATTTCCCAAACTGAGTTTCCTTCCTTTTACCATCCTTAGCGCCTATCCTTTTGTAGAGATGATTTTTATATAGATCATTTAAAATTTTCCATAGAATCTTTTTTAATGTATATTGTATGTTTTGTTTTTTGTTTTTTGTTTGTTTGTTTTCTGAGGCAGGGTTTCACTGTGTAGCTAAGCTGGCCTTGAACTTACTATGTAGCCTAGCCTGGCCTGGAACTCAAAATCCTCCTACCTCAGTGCCCTGTGCATGCTGGAATTACAGGCATGTGCTACCAAGCCTGGCTACATAGGATCTTTTAAAAAAATACTTTAAAAAGTTGACATAGCTGGGTGTGGTGGTACATGCCTATAATCTCAACATTTCGGAGGCTGAGGCAGGAGGATCGCATTGAATTCAAGGCCAGCCTGGGTTACATAGTGAGTTCAAGGCCAGCCTGAACTGAACTATATAGTGAGACCCTGTCTCAGAATTTTTTTTAAAAAATAAGAAACAAAACAAAACAAAATTTGATATAAATCACAAAGCCTAAAAAATAAAAACCTGTATTCCTAAACATGTTTTTGCACAGTCCTTTCTACTTGGTCTTCATAATGGCCTAAAAGAAAGACCATAGCTGCCTCACTGCTATTTAGATTATCTACATTTTTTTTCTCTTGTAGGCAATTCTGCACCAAACACCACCCTATATGAAGTTTTGTTCCTTCCTTTGATTATCTTAGAATAAATTTCCAAGAGTCAATGACCGTGTCAAATGATCCCAACATTGTTTAATTCATGAATTACATTCTTTTCTATTCTGATTGCATAGCAGAAATCCTCAAAATAAAATGAGAGCACTATAGGTGACGTGGTATATTAATTTCTATAGTTTCTGAAAGTTAAAGCTTTGTGCTTCCTCCAAGAGAAGGCTTTGGAAAACAAAGCAGTTAGAGGAATAGGCTGTTGGAGACATTTCTGAAAATCCATTTAGGAACCAGGCCCACAGCGCTTTCTGCCTCAGAGTGCGGAGCTGGAGGACAGACCTCTGTCCTGACCTGGTTATTGAATCCTGCTCTTCTTCCCTCCCTTGTCCCCAGTGTTGGCCTCCCCGAAGCCTTCACTGTAACTTCCATTGAGACGGAAGTGATCCCTCTTGAGAGCTGCCAAGAATCACTTCCGGAGTCAGCCAGGCGTTAGAGGGCTTCCTGCTGCGACTTCCCAGGGAGGCCTTGCACAGGGAACCCTGCACACCTCAAAGCACAGGAAATGCACCAGTGTGCTGACCTTCAGGCAAGACCGAAGCCACACGCCCTTGTCTCGCGAGACCCTGAAATGAGTTACTGTCCCTGCCCAACAGTCACTTTCTCAAAAGGACGAGGACAACAAAACAACCCCCAAAAACCAGAATAAACCAATTTGATCCAAAGTTGAATTAAGCCAATGTTGTCCTTGGTTTTGGCCCCAGAGGTTGACCTCAATTTTGTTTTTCTTCCTCACCTTTAACTTGTTGTATGATTTCCAGGTGACTTCTGATTTTATTTCAAGATCTGTTAAATGATCTCCTTTATCAACAAAAAAAATGGCCATTTCTTTCTGCATCCTAACCTCTACCATTGATATATATGTGGGGCAAGATTTGGCTATGGAATTAAATAATTATAGAATAACTGAACTTTAGAACTCCAAGAGACCCAGGTCTTAAAGACAAGCAAGGCAGCAGTAATTATCACTGACTGAAACCAGCCATTGTGTGAGGTGCTTCCCTGGAGTTACCTCAGTTAATCTTCACCCTATGCTGCAAGTTGCATCACCATTATCCTCATTATCTGGAAGATAAAACTGTGTGGAGAGGCCAAGAGTGCCAGGGTGTGACAGCCAGTTTGTGACAGGCCTGGGGCTAGAAGCTTGATTCTTGGCATTTCTCTCAGCCCTAGGTTCTTTTAGTGTCTTACAGAGCAGCTGTGTATAGAATGCCAGGATTGTCCTCCCTCGGAAGTTAGAGGCTTTTAGAAATAATCCCAGGCCTTGTTACTGGGTCATTAAAGTGCTGTTTTTTCAAAACTCCCTTTTCCATTCCCCCTCATATCTCTTCTGTCTTTCTCCACCCCTCTGTCTACACACACATATGCCCAGTGTCTATGACTTTTCAGGCCCGGTGAGACGCGGTGATTAGGCCAGCTGCCAAGGGCAGCGCTCAGAAGAGAAAGAGAACATAGATTCATTTGAACCTGCCAACTCGATGTGCCTATGCTGTTCCTTTGACAGGAAATCGATGACTGCCTGGTCCAAGCAAAAGACCGGAGTTATGATGCCCTTGTGCACTTCGGGAAACGGGGCTTGAATGTGGCGGCCACAGCAGCAGTGATGGCTGCTTCCAAGGTACGGGGGCCGGGCCCTGACTTCCATGGCTGTGTGGGCATCTCCCTTCCTCCAGGGCACCCTGCTTGTCACCAGTGCAGCTCACATGGGTCAGACTGGGGGCCACTCAGTGGCTCCTTATCTTCTGGGGGATCTCTTTGAAAACTTGATGGAAAAAATGGTGAATCTTGCCCCAGAATATTCATACGCATTCCTGCACCCTCTGTCACTCTCTCACACACACACACACACACACACTCACTCACGTACCCAATACGTGCACCAAGAGGTTCCCACAGCCCCTGCAGCTGTCTTGTGGGTCCCAGGCTAAAAACCTCTAAGCTACTTGAGGCAGAGGCCTGAGAGACAGAGAAGGAAGTGGAGGGAGGAGAGGGCAGCTCTCTGCAGTTTCCCATAGTGCACTGGGAGAGTCATCTGAACTCAAAATGAATAATTGGAAAGGTCACCTGAGTGAGTGGGTGGACACCACACGGAGGAACCCAGCGTCCCAGAGTAAAGCAGTTCCCACACGGAGGAGGAGGATGTGCACAGCAATCGTGAGGGCAGTGGAGGAGGTTTAAATAAACCAGTTGGTCTTTGGGGCATTTTGTCAATAATTCCTTCTTTTTCCTACCTAGCTCTGTTCAGAAGTCCTCTGAGTTTGTCCTTAGCTTCTCCTCATGTCATACTGTCTTTGCTGTTGTCAGTTTCTCCTGATGTCCTTAGGCCTGAACAATTACACTGGTCAAATATTTCCTCTGGAATAAATTCAGCAGTAGATTGCCCTAGTGTTCCCCAGTGACAACCCCCTCTGGGAATCCACATGTGGGGTGGTGGTCTGCAGTCAGCTGGGAGTGGAGGAAGGCAGTTATACCAGGAGGACACAATAATTGGAAGGTCAGGCTTATAGGCAAAGTGGTAAGTCCTGGGCGGTGATGCCAGGGCTTGGAGACAACAGTGGGAGAGCTGGGGAAGGGTTTGGAAGATGATGATGATAAGCCCCATGGGCTTTGAGTGGATGTGGGACAGAAGGAGCTGAAAGCCAGCTGGGACAGGGGACCACGCTGTGTTCCTGTGCCCTAAGTCAGAGGGATGCCTGCTGGGAGCATTTCCAAAAGGACTCCTCACACAGGGCTGTGCAGTTGTCTCAAAAGCATCTCTGCTTGAAGTCAGGGAGAGCTGTAGGCAGAGACAGGGAGAGAGGGGAGGAGAACCAAGGGAATGATTCTGTTTCAGACAAGCACCAGCTGCTTCTGCCACAGAAAACCACAGGGAAGTGTCCACTGCTCGTACAGCAGGGTCTGCAGGCCCCATCCACCTTGGTGTAATAGCTGCTGGTAGAGGGCCAGATCCCAGAGAGCATCTTTGGGAGGGAAATTGCACTGTGGTTTCCTCAGGAGATCTGTCAGGATTTACAAAGCTCAGTGACTCCCAAGAACCTTCTATTTCCAATCCAACCATTATGTGCTCTTATTTTTAAGTAGAAAGAAAAGAATAGATCATTACATTCTAAATAGGGCCAGTTGTACAACATAAAGCTACAGAAACCAGCTCTCTGTCCCTCTCTCTAGCCTATCTTCATTGCCCTTGAAGCCCGAAGGAAGGTGATTTCCTCAGTTAAGTCACAGACACTTTTTTTCTGTACTGGGAATTGAACTCAGGACCTTACATTTGCCAGGCAGGCACTTATGCCACTGAGCTATATCCCAGCCCATGTCACAGACTTCAAACGTGGTGTATTTGGGTGCAGTACGGGTCACCTCACTGCTCAGTATGCATGAGTGTGGGAAGTTCATTCTCCCTGTTACTTGGGCAGGATGGTCCTTTTCTAGGACAGACTCAAGCTGAAACCTCCAGAGCCTTGGTGTCATCCTGGCCTGTTGCTGCCTGCCCCACTACCCTCCTGGGAAAGCCCTGGGGCCAAGACTTGTCCAGCCAGGCACTTTAGAACAGCCAAAACCCACAGGAAGCTGCAGACAGTTTGAAACTCACCTCAGGAAATAACAGCTCATTAGTCCTTCCATTTGGGCTAAAGTAGCAAGGACCATCTGCTTTCTGTTGAATCTGGTTTCAGATGAGAAAATTTTCTGCTTTGTAGGAGCTTTCCTTTTTCCTGTAAATATCTGGAGAGAGAAAAGTGTATTCCCTTCCAAAAATAATGCCATTTACTTTTGAAACAGACTTGTACTATTAAAAAAAAAAAAAAAAAAACTAGTGAAATCCAAAATACTCAGCCAGGCTGATGAGGTGTGCATCACATCAGTGGTTTCCATAGCAACGGCAGATTGCACCAAGCAGGGTCAGAGGATGGTGACTCACCAGTGGGTCCAAGTCTGGCTTTCAAGCCTGAACCCCCTGAGAAGCTTTGTTTTTTGATTTTTAATAGATTCTCCAACGTGCTGAATCAGAATCTCAGGCAGTGAGCCCAGGGATCTCTATTTTTAACAAGTTTCCCAGGTGATTTTTAAATGGCCAGCTCTGTACCGGTCACTGCCTAAGGCCCCGTCCAGAGCCAAGAGCGCAGGTAATTAGGGTTTCAACTGTTAGTTTCGGTACCTTTCCTGGAATGCAGACTTAGCTCCTTAGAAGCCAAGCCTCGAAAATAAGAAAAGCAGTTTGTGTGTGTATTGCCCTGAAACTAAATGCTAGTTGGAAAACACTCATGCATCACTCAGTGTAGGGGAGTAAGTTCTGAGAAACTCATCATTAGGCAGCTGTGTCATTGTGGGACAGAGTGAGTGTACACGGCCCACATGGTACAACCTGCTTCATGCCTCGGCTGGATGGTAGATACTGTTGTATGTGTGTCCATTGCTGACCAAACCTCAGTATGTAGCGCATAACTGTCCTATAGATTCTTCTAGCAGCTGTTGGGATCAAGGAGTCATTCCTCCCTCACTCTTCTGTTTGCTTTTCCATCCTTTGATGGTTCTCAGGAAGATACTATAGAGCTTAAATGGAAGGACCATGCTAATAATTAATCTTTTTAAAAATAATATTGATCCCTGAGCCTCCTTTCCTAATAAATTATTTGCAGGATTTTATTTTGGTTTGGTTTTTGGTACTGGGGATTGAACCCTTGCACATGCCAAGCAACTGCTGTACCACAGAGGTACATCCTCAGCCCTTTACAAATTTTTACTTTGAGACAAGCTCTGGCTAAATTGCCCAGGCTGGCCTCAAACTTGTGATCCTTTTGTCTCAGGCTTCTGGGTAGCTGAGATTAGAAGTTGTGCGCCCACTCCTGGGCAAATATAAATTCCTATTCCTATTACTATTTTATTTTAGAATTGGAAAACTGAAAAAAAAATAGACATCAGAAACTTCTCCCCAGGGTAGTTCATCCCGACCCCACCTTTCCAGTTTCTCAAGGTCTCTATCCCTGTCCCCAGGAAGTGATGTGCCTTCTATCTAGGGTCTGTGGTCACTTGGCTGTCTCCGCTCCTCCATGTTCCCTGTTTCCTAGTCAGTGATTCCAACCAGAAGGAAAACAGCCCCTGACCTGAGACTAGCTTTGCAAATCTCTCTCTTAACGTAACACTCTCGAAATTCATTCGTTCTGTCAAACACATTCTCACATAAAAGGAAGACACTAGTCAGAAGTAACAACAAAATTTTACAATCTTGAGGTCTGCAGGCCACCTTACTCCCCTTAAAATTTGAACTTTCCACCAGATCTCTTCCACTTGGTCATTCTTAGACCTGGTCCAAGTCAACCTTGCTTTGTCTCATAACTTAAAAAACAGTGTGGTTTAATTTGGAAGATCCCAAAGCAGTTCTAATAATATCTACCCTATTACTAAAGCCATCTATTGAAAAGAGCTGCTCAAAGTAAAACTGCATTCTGTGAATTACAGGTTCTCCCACAGATGGTTTTCGGGTGTGGGTATGCAGGGGCTTCTTTCCCCATCCAGTATTTCCCTGTTTGATTGTCAGTTTCTTGAAATGATGGGCTCTGGCTTCTTTTCTTGTGTTTCTTGCTTAAAAATAAATAGAACAGTGCTTAGTTGTACAATACTTTACACTCCTTGCCACTCATAAAACCTGACTGATGTGAAGTATGCGCCTTTTTGGTTCCTTCAGTCTTGCTCGGTCCAACATGGCAACCATTTGCCACACATGGCTAGATGCAAATTAATTACAATCAAGTAACTCTGAAATTCAGCTTCTCAGTTGTTCTAACCCCCATTCCAAGTCCTGAGTAGATACTTGACTGGAGGCTGACACAGCAGGTTTCCCTCATTAGAAGAAAGTTCCATTGGCCAGCTCTGCCCTAAGGCCCCTGTTAACACTTGTGGGTTCTCCTTTGCCTTACTTTCCTGCCTTCACCGTAGCTGCTTAATTGTGACTAGATACCTGCCCTGCTACCCACTGAGCTCCTTGGGACCTCTGTCAAGGTTCACAAGGAAGACAGGGTACTACAAACTCATCCTGTAGCAGTGCCCATGCTGCAGCTGTCATTTCTTCACCACTGCCACAATGCCATGCATCTTCATGTTACTCCATGACCTCCAACTTTCCTGACTTTCTCATACACAGGCATTTTGCCTGCAATTATGGTCAGTCACCACTAGAGAGTAGCCAAGCCTTGGCGATGGCTGTAGTACAGTATCTGAAAAGATAGGCACAATCTTAATAAAAGATAAATTATATTTTCCTGTTCATACTTTACTCCCACTCAATTTTTTTTTGTCTTTTTTTTGAGGCAGGGTCTCCCTGTGCAGTTCAGGCTGGCCTTGAGCTCCCTTTGTAGCCCAGGTTGGTCTCAAACTCACAATGATTCTTCTGCCTCAACCTCCGGAGTGCTGGGATTACAGACATATGCCCCCACACCTGGCTCCCACTCAATTTTGTCTTTAAAAGAAAAGCTCTATAAAATAATTCAACATAAATAGTAAAAAAGAAAGTCTTCTCCCCCTTATCCTCATCATTTACCCATTAGTGCTTTATCTAAACATCTGGCTTCAATAAAATGATGCTTTCAATCCACCATAAAATGTTATGTTTGGATCAGACACTTA